AACCGTAATTACATTGAACCTTATGGGAAAATTTGATTCAGGTCGCAACCAAAATCGGTTGGCACCAAATTCGGAGGGGTCAGAACGGATTAACCGTGATTACACTGAACCTTATGGGGAAATTTGATTCGGGACGCAACCAAAATCGGTTGGCGACCAAATTTGGAGGGGTCAGAACGGATTAACCGTGATTACACTGAACCTTATGGGGAAATTTGATTCGGGTCGCAACCAAAATCGGTTGGCGACCAAATTTGGAGGGGTCAGAACGGATTAACCGTAATTACATTGAACCTTATGGGAAAATTTGATTCGGGTCGCAACCAAAATCGGTTGGCGACCAAATTTGGAGGGGTCAGAACGGATTAACCGTAATTACATTGAACCTTATGGGAAAATTTGATTCGGGTCGCAACCAAAATCGGTTGGCGACCAAATTTGGAGGGGTCAGAACGGATTAACCGTAATTACATTGAACCTTATGGGAAAATTTGATTCGGGTCACGACCAATTCGGGTCGTGACCAGAGTCGTGGAACGAATTAAGTTCGTGAACTGAGGTACCACTGTATTTATTCTGTGTTATCTAGATTATATCTTCTCTATCCACTGGACAGTATGAATTTGAACTCTGCCAGTGGTGTCTGCAGGTTAAGATAAAAAAAGAAGATGGCAGACACAATGGTACAATTGTCACGGACACCATCTTGACTTTTTTTTTTTAACCACTAGAAAAGCTATTTTCTGTTGATTGAGCTATGTCAGGGTTCTCACCATCCAGCTCTGATGTGGCTGAAGATTCAAGCACCACAATGAAGGAGCTCAAATATCCTAACTGAAAGTCTTTAGATGCAGAAAACCTGCAGGAGAAAACTTCCTGGGACTGCCAAAGAAACTGGAGAGTTCTCGTTTATGAAAAGGAATCAAGAAATACGGAGCAGAAGGAAATCATAGTGTCACAAATAGTGAGGAAGGATCTAGGCTGTAGGACAGCAGATGGAAGTGTAGTGGAAAACTGGACTCTAGTCAGAGACCCCCACAAACTCTGGCTAGTTCTACCCAGGGACCTAACAACACAAATGGATCATGTTAGCATACTGGATCATTGGTGCAGACTATTTGACTGTTCAAATATCTGAGTAGTAAAGGGAGTTTATTTGTATTTCATTCAAAGTTATCTTTTTAAAATGAAGTGTAATAAAATGCAGCAAAATCCCAATTTGATTACAGAGGTAAGTAAGCTTTCAGAAAGAAGCTTAAGAACAACAATAGGGCTGGGCAAAGACTCTGTTTAGACTTGATTTAAGATTCAACTCAATCACCTTCTAATCAACTTTTAGAATCAATTGTCAATTCAGATTGATTTGTCATATTGAAATGATTGCTTATGATACACTCTGATGATTTGATGGCCATTTTGCACATGCATGGAAAGCCTTTTTTCTGAATTGACTTGACTTTCTGAAACATGTAAGATTCAATTCATTTGTTTCTGAAATCCAAATCAAATTAATGGATTCAAATTGGACTGATTGAACAATCTGATTCAAATCATTTATGTCCATGGATCACATAACTCTAATTACAGAAGCATTTCTGCCCCCCTGCCACTCCTTGTAAGAAAGTGTGGAGGGAAAAAAACCCATATTCTTTGGAATTATAGGAAGTAAAAAAGTCCCCCACCACCACCACCAGAGCAAAACAAAGAGAGCCTGCTTGGGAGAGTTCAAGATTTAAGCAGCATTTGCAATGAGCAAACTAGAAATACTACGTAGTGTTGCTCCAAAATTTGCTTTTACTGAATCCTCCCTTTTCTTCTTGTGATTTCTACAGGCAATTTCTCCACCCAGATCTTAGTGAGATTGTTGGCTTGTTTTGTCCTTCCTGTCATAATTTGATCTCTGCCAAACAATTCAAATGGCGGGGGGGGGGGGGGGGGGGGGGGG